AGTAGCCCAAACCAGTTAAGACAATGACCCATGTCTGCAACCTTAAAATCATAAGGTATACAAAGGCTCAAGTAATTCCAGTTCCTAACTCCTATTTAATGTATGAATTCCCTCTGTATTTGTCACAAGAGGCCAGCCAGTCAGTCCACACAACTCCAGTGAAAGAAAACTCACTACCACCCAAGGCCGGTCATTTAATTCCAACGGTTTCTAAATGTTGAAAGCCCTCCTTTAAATAATCCAGAACTGCCTCCCTGTAATATATACCTTTGATCATTTTGCCTCCCAAAACCACAGTACTTTAAGTATTTGAAGATTGCTTTCATGCCTATGTAGGAAACAATTTCAACTAGTGTACACTGAATAAAATATTTATTCCCTGTATCTATTGGACACTAATCTCTACAGGAGTAGGAACGTATTTGCCCTTGTCATGCTGCTGATTGAGAAACAGAGTATCAGGGTTGTTAAAAAAAATCTTGAGTTCTGAGTCACAAATATGAGTCAAATCTTAACTCTGCCACCATCTGTTCTTATGACCTTGGGTAGAAGCTAAACCCCTTTGAATCCGATTCCTCACCAGTAAAATGGAAATAATGGTGCCACCTAATTGAGCTTATGGGAATTAAATGAGATAATCTATGAAAAGTGCTTGGCAAAAGGAGGTGGTCAAATAGATGCTGACTGAGCTAGGTATCTTCTCATTTTAGCAATGTTCTTTGATAAAGGTAGAAATCAAAAGCATAGGAGACTGTATTATCCAAATTTTCTTCTGAAAAAAATCCATAATAGTATTAAACTAATTAAGCTGATGAACATTTTTGATTGCTTCCTTTTACGTGAGAGGAAATTTAGAGAGGCTCTCATAGGAAGATGCCAAAGTGCTTTTTAAAAACATCTGAAAGTATACAGATGTTAGGGGACAAAGAAAAACTGTCAATTTTAACATATCTTTGCATTTAGTACATGCCACTCTTTAATGGAAAACTCCCATGTGTGGATGGAAAGCAAATTCCACATATTATTTCATTAGATACTCTTTTCCTAGCAGGTGTTCCTCCCCTCCTCTGTTTCTGACCATCTGCAGTACTCCGTCCTCCATGAGGCCTGTCAAAGTTAGGAAATGCAGACCTCTTCCTTCTGTTCTGATACGAGTTTCTCAAGGTTCACAACCATATTTCTGTTTAATTCTTTTGGTTTTTTTTTTTTTTTTTTAATCTCTGTTTTCAGGAATTACATCCTTTGGACCTCTTAAAGTTGGAGTTGACCAAAAATCCAACCCCATCTCATACTACACATTCCTGCTGAAAAATTACAATCAACCCAGAGCTCCCAGTACCACAAGGGCCCCGTCACAACTGATGCTCCAGCCCAGAGTAGGTCCTAAAGAACTACGCCTGTACTTCCACCTCCAATCTGGACTTTTTTTTTCTTTCTTTTTTTTTTGAGACGGAGTTTCACTCTTGTTACCCAGGCTGGAGTGCAATGGCGCGATCTTGGCTCACCGCAACCTCCGCCTCCTGGGTTCAGGCAATTCTCCTGCCTCAGCCTCCTGAGTAGCTGGGATTACAGGCACATGCCACCATGCCCAGCTGATTTTTTGTATTTTTAGTAGAGACGGGGTTTCACCATGTTGACCAGGATGGTCTCGCTCTCTTGACCTTGTGATCCACCCGCCTCGGCCTCCCAAAGTGCTGGGATTACAGGCTTGAGCCACGGCGCCCGGCTTCCAATCTGGACTTCTATGCCATGACAGCCAACAAGGACCTCAAATTCAACATGTGTAACATGTATAAAATCGAACCACTATCCCTACCCTTAAAGGTCCTATCTAAAGAGGACTGACACCATAACTGCATTCCACCTTCCAACAAATCAATGTCAATCTCCCAGGCTTGTTAAACTCTCTGCTATGGCCCTGGTGCGGGTCCTTATCCTCTCATTCCTGCCTCTGTGACTCTTCCAATCCATCCTCTACACAGCAGACAGTGATCTTCCAAATATATATATCACTGCCGCCACTGCTTTGCAGTTGCTTCCACAGCCCGTAAGTTGTCCTGGCATGGAGGCTCACCATGGTCTGGTCTGACTTACTCCTAACTGTCTGTCCAGCTTCAACCCTCACCACTAAGTTCCAGTCTTACTAATGTAGCTTAAGTACCTGAAGAGAAGAAGGCATGTTGTTTCATGCTCCCTGCCCCCTGTCACATGCTGTCCTCTCCACTTGGGATATACTCCACCTGTGCTCCATGCCTTGCCAGGTGAAGCCGTATTGATCCCTTCAGATTCAGTGCAAGCATAGTCTCTTCTGTGGTAACAGTCCTCTTTCTCCCTGGAGCAGGGAAAAGTAATCCCACCTGGATCAGTTTCTTAGGGCTGCTGTTACAAAGTACCACAAACTGGATGGCTGAGAACAACAGAAATTTATCTTCTGACAGTTCTAGAGGCTGGACTTCTGAAATCAAGGTGTCAGCAGCGCCACCACACTCCCTCTGAAGGCTGTGGGGAAGCACCCTTCCTTGCCTCTTCCTAACACCCAGTGATTGCCAGCATGGTTGCCAGCAATCTTTGGCCCTCCTGGCTTTGTAGCTGCATCACTCCAATTTCTGTCACCATCTTCACATGGTACTCTCCATGTATGTCTCCATGCCCAAATTCCCCTCTTCTCTTATTATAAGGACACCAGTCATTGGATTAGGGTCCACCTTAAACCGGTATCATTTTAACTTGATTACATCTGCAAAGACCCTACTTCCAAATAAGATCACATTCACAGGTACTAGGGAATTAGAGCTTGAACGTATCTTTTTGGAGGACAAAATCCAACCCACCATCTCTGTTCTCCCACAGCATCTGAGCCCATCATAAACACTCACATAGTAATATTACTTCCAGCTCTGTCATCTACCAATAAATTCTCATTTATCTTTATCCTAAGTCTCTGGCATACAGTAGTTCCTCAATAAAAGTTGAAGAATCTGCAAAATGCTTCCTTCCCTTAGACCTTTTCCATTTAAGACTTCCTTTTTTTTTTTACATCACAATTTTCTAACACATTCACACATAAACATGATCATGATTTGGCAGTTTCTGATCATGTGCAGTACTGAGACATAACTTTTCATCTGTTTTCGGCATTGGTTTCAAATGGATATATAATAACACAGCTAACACTCTCCAAGTAAACCATGTTTACTGAACTGATAATGAATATAAAAGTCAGCCAGAAATAATGATAAAATATGTCTGCTGCTAACAGTTCACACAGATAAATTCAGAGTGAACAGAGGCGTACTCATGCATATATAGAATCTACATGTTTATAGCAGATGTTAACTGGGAATATCTTTGGGTGTAAATTTCAAGGATGATACAAATGCCAATATAAAAACAAATCAGCCGGGCGCCGTGGCTCAAGCCTGTAATCCCAGCACTTTGGGAGGCCGAGGCGGGTGGATCACAAGGTCAAGAGAGCGAGACCATCCTGGTCAACATGGTGAAACCCCGTCCCTACTAAAGCTACAAAAAATTAGCTGGGCATGGTGGCGCGTGCCTGTAATCCCAGCTGCTCAGGAGGCTGAGGCAGGAGAATTGCCTGAACCCAGGAGGCGGAGGTTGCGGTGAGCCGAGATCGCGCCATTGCACTCCAGCCTGGGTAACAAGAGCGAAACTCCGTCTCAAAAAAAAAATAATAATAATAAAAATAAAAACAAATCATGCTACTCTATTCTATAGATTAGAAATGGAATGGTTTCCTACCAAAATAACAGGAAGCCTTGCAAAAAACCTTTTCCGTCTCACATTGCTCTGAAGCCATACAGATAAAGGAAGCGGTGTTTTTATCAACTGCCCCATGCAAAAAGCACATACCCAAACACGACTTTCTTCTGTCCATAGACGACCATAGAGAACACCGAAGAAAGCAGTGTTAAAATAACACCTAATCTCTCCATGACTGCCACAAACAGCGCCTTTCTGGGTGCTTTCCAATGACACCCCCCCGCGCTCAACTCGGCCCAGGTGTAAAAATCATTAGGAACAAGAGGATTAAGTTTCCAAACCCTAAGAATCCGGGAGACAAAGTGTCCTTTGTAACAAACAGGAAACTACGGAGGGGCAAAACACCCGAGGGAAGGCGTTAGGGTGGACAAGTCAAGAAGTGGAAATCTTGTTTAAAAACCCTGGAGGGGTGGAGGGCGCCGCTTACGGCGGGGTCCGCCTGAGGTGGGGGGATTCTGGTGCCGCCATTGGAGGGTGGGAAGGCCAGCGGCCTCGCAAAAAGGGCCGAGGCTCCCCTGAAACGCCGCTCCACCCGCACCCCAAAGGACGAAGGGAACGGGCGATCGCCTCCCCACTCGGAGAGACTGGAAGGGTGGTAAGGCCGTTCCCCAGCGGCGCACGGAAGGCGCAGCCCCAGGAGCCCCAGCCTCCACCTCCAGAACGGAGGTGGCGACCCCACCACAAGAGGAGCGGACCGAGGACCGCGATGTACCTTTAACGCCCGCCATGTCTCCCGAGCTGGGGCCGCGGCTGCTTCCGGCTTCCCGCCACCTCCCGGGTAGCGGGCACAAGCCAGACCGGGAGTGGCCCAGAAGATCCCGAGCCCGCCCCGGCCACGCAGAGCCCCGCTCCCAGCTAGCAAAGGCCGCGCCTGCTGGTCTAGACCCCACCCCCACCACTCAGAGCCCCGCCCCTGCCAATGCAGACCCCGCCCCCAGCTCGCAGAGGCCGCCCCTGCCGGTCCAGACCCCAACTCCGCCCACCAATAGCCCCGCCCCTCTTGGTGAAGAACCCCGCCCCCAGCTCTCAGGGGCCGCGCCTGCCAGTTCAGACCCCGCCCCGCTACTCAGAGCCCCGCCCCAGACGGTACAGAGCTCCTCCCCTAGCTCGTGGAGGCCGCGCCTGCTGCTCTGGCCCCCGATCCCGCTACTCAGAGCCGCGCCCCTGACAATGCAGAGCTCCTCCTCTAGCTCGCGGAGACCGCCCCTGCTGGTCCCGCCTCGTCCCCGCCTTTCAGTACTCCGCTTCAGCCGGCCTAGTGCTCTTCCCCCAGCTCGCAGAGTCCAGCTCCATCCCTAAGAACCCTGGCCCCACAAAGCTCTCCCAGAATAACCCCAACCCTGCGCCCTGGGCTCTCCTCCTAGATCTTGAGCCCTCCGGGTAATCCTCAAGCCCGTTCAATCTGTGGGCTAGGACCTTGGCTCCGCCCCGACCTCGGGCGCGGAGTCTCCCCCAGACAACTCAGAACGCGGTGTATGCAGCGCGGGATCCTCCCTGAGCCTCCCTGAGAACGGGGGTGTAGAAAGTGGGGAGAGGGTGGAGAGGGAGGGAGGGGAAAAGTTGCAGTGTATGGGAGAGGGACACTGACTCAATAACCACTGTTGTGTTCCCTGAGCCCCCATGTGCGTGCTTGTGTGAGAGCTTGTGCCTGTCTGCCATCACTTGGCTGTGGCAGAGGAGGGGCGGGGGCATCAGAGGACAGCCTCTTAGGAAACAACCCTCGTCAATAACTTGATATTGGCCTAGGTTTGCCTTGCTTAATAGCAACGCTTTACTGAAATTAGTGGGGTTTTTCTTTACTCCCTGGTTTAGTTGTAGAGACGAAGACCACAGAAGCTTTTGTGTCCGAAGCTTTCATGAACCTTAAAAAAAAAAAAAGGCTATTATTTTTGTACCTTGGGACCTCAAAGTGTACTTATCTTACTCACAGGAATGGAGAGTTCTGTTTTGGCAAGAGCAATCTAGAAGATCATAGAAAGTCTGGTCCAAATGCTTCATCTTACATTTAAGGAAAGAGGTACAGAAAGGGTAGGACTTGCCTGTCACACAGCTCTGTGGAGGAAGTTGGATTTTGGGGCACTTCCCCTCATTCTAGCTAAGAGCCACTCTACCTGAAGGTATGGTCCCTCTTCTCTTGCTTTTCCTCAGTTTTTCAAAGGACTGAAAGACAAAGGAGTCTGTGGAAACCTAGCTTCCCCTGGGTACCTGAGATATATAAATTCTCACCACCATCACTTTTCAGGACCTTGCTCCGTTTACTTTTTCACAATTGTATATTGAGCATGTTATTGTCTCAAGAAATGTCTATTTGTTAAATCAGTAGTGTATTTTTCTAGTTGTCAGTTTATTTTTCTAGCTCCTCTCATTTCTCCTCACCAATGGATGGCACACTCACTGAAAACAGCATTGTAATACCTGACTCACTGCAGAAAGATGCTTGGAGATCCAGTACTACACTGTACTCTTTGCTTTGGAGCCTTCGATCTACTCAAGATCATTGAGAGTGTATGCCACTTTGGCCTAAGGATTATTTTGAGCTGAAGACAATTAGGAAGAAGCAAATAGGTACAGGGTACTAGAAAAGCATTCTGCCTTCCCTTTATTTGCCAAAAAGCAGGATATAAGTTTGCAAAGATGTACCTCCTGCCTGCTCTATCAGGAAGGACAAAGATTAATCACCAGAGACAATTGTAGACCCTTGTCAGCCTGGAGACAACACAAGAAGAATCTACATGATAAACTTTAGTGTCTAGCCTTTATCTGCAACTAGTCTCCCATAAATTTGTCTTCCCACAATTTGCTGCCCCTAGAGACTCAAGGTCCTTTATCTTGTCATTTCTCTAAAAAAATTTATTGTTCCTTTGCTAACATGCTGTTTTTTGGGGTTTTTTTTTTTTGAGATAGAGTTTCTGTCACCTGGGATGGAGTGCAGTGGTGTGAGCCCAAGTTCTAAACAAACGTTTGAATTGCTCATCTCTGAGTGTTCCCATATGTCACCTACATGAACAATACACATGTTGATAAACTTGCTTTACTTTTGTTTGTCTTTGGCCAGTCTAATGCACCGGGCCCCAGCTGAAGAACCTAAGATACATCAAGGAAAAGATTCTTCCTCCCCTACAAGAGCTTGGTTCCCTATCATATTATTTCTAATACCTGTTAGAGCATTCAAGGGAACCTGCGTATCAGACAAGCCCTGGAAGTCTGTGGTTTTTAGCTCTCTTCTTCGTGTAGTGCTAAGCTGCTCTCATGGGGAAGATATTCTATGGGGTTAAATTTCCCTCATTCCTTTTTTCTATTTCCAACCACCTACTGTGTCTCCAGAGAGCCTAAACAGGGTTTGCAGGAGCCTTCCATGTCAGCCTGACTCCAGTCACACAAAAGGTAAGTGATTTTAGAGCAAACTGACAACACATCAGAGGCAGAGCTTGGTGTGAGCACCCTAGGCTCAGGAGTAAGATACGGACTGGAAGGTGGTATGAAACTAAAAGCTGAGGTGTTTGCCCCAGGTTAAAAGTCTGGAATTAGAAAAATGCTGGGACAGTGTTTGTCTTGAACAAGTTTTCTGCCCACGCCAGCTGTCCTTTCCAGGTTACCAAATACCTTAAAGGGAAAGTTAGCTATTTTGCCATAGGCTTTAACCATCTGAAAAAATCTGCTTTTCTTTTGCCTGATGTTGCACTGAAAAAATTGTTCTTCCACTTACCCCTTCCACATTTTCTCAAGAATAAAAGAGTCTTCAGAAACGGAAAGTAAAACCCTAAAAACCAAATCCTTCTCCCCAACTTGGCATTGGTATGTTACTTGGATGTATAAGATCTGTGACCTCTGTCATGCTGCCTATGACTACAGTGGACTTATTGGGATGAATTTTAATATTCTCTCCTTGCATTCAATAATCTTGCACTGATGAGCTAGGTTTTATTGTCTCTATCTTACAGGTAGGAAAACAAGTTCTCAGTAACCAGTGAAAAGGGAAGCTGAGATCAAGTTCCAAACTGTTCAACTCTAAAGTCAGATGGTCAGCACTTGCACTGTTCCCCACAGTAGATCTTATGCACCGAGAAGCAAGAATTCTTATAGTAATTACAAATAACAGTAACCTCTTATGTTTCACAGGGCATCAAATCCATTCGCTGATTTAATTTTCTCCTGCATAACTATTAGTATCTTGCATATTATACAAAATATTGGCTGAGTTAACAAATATCACTAAGGTTACCATATACAGTATCATCTCTTCCTATCCTCAGTGGAAGAACGTAGCCTCAAGTTCCAGCTCTGGATAAATTTCTCCATGTTTTAGCTTCCTGAGGTAGCAGTTACAAAAACCTGTCTCAAAGAGTCTTGCAGTGAATTAAATGAGAAAAAAAGAAAAAATATATATATACATATATCTACATATGTATGATAGCATCTAGGGCAGTGCACACAAGGTAAATGCCAGGATGTTATATCTACACTGGGGCAGGCTTGCAAGTCAGTGCGTAAGTTAAATGCAAGAATGATGCAACACTAATTGAAATCCTAAACATTAGTTTTCTTCCTAATTCTCAATAACTACTTCTTTTTACATAACTATTCCCTTTACGGAAACTGCAATGCGAATCTCTTTGCCATTTTATGCAGACAGAGCTCTGTAAACCCAAGGAGATCAGGAATAAGGGCCAAGGTAAAAGTAACTTTGGGTTGCTTTTTCCTACTTGTGTTTATCCACGCCCTAGTATATGAGGTTTCCATGTAATTCCAGCTCCAATACTCACCAACACTTTGTCTTATTTACTATCAGTAACAATAACAATAATTACTATTTAGTGAGTACCCACTTGATAAGAGTTTATATATACAGTCCTTAATTCCTCCATTGCAGGGTTGTTAGAATTCTATTTTACAGGTGATAAAATTAAGACTCAGAGAGTTCAAGAAACTTGTCCAATATAAGTGTCTGTAAGGCTTGGCATAGTAGCTCATGCCTATAATCCCAGCACTTTGGAAGGCTGAAGCTGGAGGATCACTTGAGACCGGGAGTTCAAGACCATCCTGGGCAATATAGCAAGACCCTGTTTCTCCAAAGGAAAAAAAAGAAAAAAACAAAAAAAGACAAACAGAAGAAAAAAAGAAGCAGGCATGGTGGTTCCCACCTGTAGTCCTAGCTACAAGAGGGCTGAGACGAGAGGATCACTTGAGCTCAGGAGTTAGAGGTTGCAGAGAGCTGTGATAGACCCATTGCACTTCAGCCTAGGCACCACAGAAAGACCCTCTTAAAAAAAAAGTCTATAAATAGAAAAACTGGGATTTAAACCCAGTCTTTTTATCTCAAACCAATATTTATCACTATTCCCAAAAATCATAATTTATCTTTAGAATAATCAAAATCTGCTGCTTGATCTAGCTTCCTTGATAGATGTTTCCAGCAGGAAGACTGACTTGTTGCTGTGATAGCTATATCTGTAATTCAACTTTTTTCTTTTGTTGTTGTCTTTTTAGTTGGGGGCACGGTGAACCATTTCTGGAGTTACTGCAATACCAGGCTGATGTGTGGAATGGGTGGGGCAAATTCCTATCCCATCTTCCTGCTCCAAAAAATCCATTTAAAATATTGTTCTTAGATAGAAGACATATCAGATATTAAGCTGATAAAAATAGATGCTATATTGATTTTAGGCAAAAGGCCAAAAAGCAATTGGAATTCAACTTTTTGCTCATTCCCCACACAGACTGTGTTTCATTCACGGCATTAGGATTCAACTTGAACATTCTTCCACATGTAGACAGTACGGTGATGGGTCAAGTACCTTTGAATTATAGCATTTGTTTCCAAAGAACTAAAATATCTGAGATTTTGTTTCTAAGATAAAGTCCCAGACTTCCAGGTTCAATCCCTTTGCCTCAACATACAAATTCATTTTTGAAAATCCTTTAATTTTCTGGCTAGCAGACCAGGATTTCTATGCTAATTCTTTTTGCGACATATATCATGTAGCATAATCAAAATCGTGTGTGCTTGTGTGTGTGTGTGTGTGTGTGTGTGTGTGTGTGTGTGTGTGTGTTGGGGCAGGAGTGATTAAGTATAAATCCAAAAATCCTGTCGAATTACATTTTGGTGCATGCTTTTCATATTCTCTCCTCATAATTTTCCTTAAAAGTGAATTATGTGTATGGTGGCATTCAAGCTCATCATCGTATTCCTAGAAATACCCAAATAACTTCGATTTCTACAAATATTTTTGAACTTTTTAATATACATTACAAATATTTTAGACCAATCACATTTTGTTGTAACATATTTACAAAACAAAAAATATATTACAATAAATATGATGAAACAGTGAATCTGATCAACAACAAGCTTTGTCACACCAGTTATTTAAAAGGAATGCAAAAACCTGTTGGTCTGCATATATTAAGAGTTTTGAGATAAATAGGGGTCCAGAATTATTATGTATCCGGAAAAGAGATGTGGGGGGAAACCCCCAAATTTAAGTAAGATTTTTTCTCATTGCTAATTACACAATGTTTAATGTTTTAAACTGTGAACGTTGATGAATTATCCAAACATGATACAAAGCTAATGTAGTTCTATCATTTCAAAATATGTGACATCCACAGAATATCCTTTTAATTGTTATCATTATATACTGTAGTTCACACAATATCTACAAATGTGAATGAGAAAAAAAAAACAGGTCACAGAAACATGTCTTACATTCCAATTTTAAATAAGACAAGCACATACTGGATCAACAGTATTTTATAATACGTTAATAAATAACACCTAGTCTGTTATGGTTACCTTGAACAGTTTATGACTGTATATTTAAAAAGAGAACATTTTCTTTGAGTTTCACATTGTCAGTAAAAGGTAAAATAAATAATGAGCCTTTATAACAAAAAAAAAAAGAGAGAGAGAGAGATCTATGTAGAACCTAAAGTATTTCTGACATGCCGCTTTTCCGGTATAGCTTGCCACAAAAAATCAAAACAAAAACAAAAAATGATTGTCTTTTCAAAACAACTTTTAAAAGCTTTTCACAATATTGAGCATGACCCTTTGAAGAATAGCATGAAAATCTTTTTGCCCATCTGCTTTGTGCATATATATATATGTATAATGCACACTGTATATGTGCACACCAAAAGATATCTACTAAAGTCACAGAATAGCAAACTGCTTACCCCTTAAAATGAAAACCAGCCAAAACAGTGATCTGAATCCAGCCAGTCTGAGATCTGGAAAGCTTTCATTCTTGCTTTGCTTTCACAAACATCCCTGTATGAACAGTGTTCCTGTGGATCCCCAACTACTTCTAAAACAATAAAGCCCACTGTAATAATCCAGTGTGTCTAGATTTGCCTTGTGGGGAGATGGGACCTGGTTCCTCAGAGCAGATACTGACAAGCCATCTGACTGTGTCTGCAGGTGAGTGCAGCTCTCTCACTGATCATGCCTCCTATTCTCATAACTCCTATTCAGTGTTGCCGTCTATTCTCGTCTTGAACTCCCAACCTCAGGTGATCCGCCCACCTTGGCCTCCAAAGTGCTTGGATTACAGGTGTGAGCCACCACGCCCGGCCCTTGCCATCTATTCTCTTACCACTCACGAACCTAGAGAACACTGAGTCCAGATATTGGTCCTGATAAATTGTGAACGAGCCAAATTGCTTTTCCAGCTAAGAACATTTTCTTGGCTAAACAAGAGCATTAAGCCTTATGGCAAAACTAGATGTTTCATTTAATCCCAGGTTTAGAGTTGTTATACTAGTAAGACTTTTTCTTTAATCAATCACAGTTTTCTAAAGAAAAAGAAAGGGTAGCAGCCCACCTCCCTAACCAGGAATAAAAATTTTGACATCTTCAGAGTCCCTATTTTCTTTAGCCAGCATTTTCATTCATTTTTATATTAGTCAGAAAGTTGGTGGTAATCACTGGACTGTAGTTTAATCACTGGACTATTATCACTCCCCACAACTGAAGTTCCTTTATATTTGTTAGTCTTCTTGACCAAAAGACATTTACAGTATTATGCTACAAGCCTTAGTAAATTTTTACTTAAAAAAAAAAAACTTGGTGATTTCGTTCCTGGAGTCTGCAAAAAGTCACTGCTCAAATTATATGCTTCCAAGAAAATCTAGAAACCATTATTTTAAACCATCACATAACTCTATTATCATAACTTTGGCTCATTAATCCTATTCTCAGACAATGTGATGGGTGTTATGCCTTCATGGGCGGTGGCCTCTATTTTCCATTTCCCCAGGCAGGATGCTGAGTAGGCTCCCCAAAGGGCAGGGTGGAATGTGGTTCTGCAAGGTCATCTGACTAGAAGTTCCTCTCATGCATTGGATCTTTTATGTCGGGGACTTTGAGAAACCAAACATCCCCATTCCTTATCAATGATAAATTAATTCATGAGTAATTTAACGGTTTAGTACTGAAAACATGTTACTGGAGTTTTGGTTCATCTGCGAAAACCTCAGAATTGTAACACACACTAAGCATTAGCAAAGGTCTGCAGCAGAGATGGAAAAGCTCATAAATTAATATAAGGGCTTTTGGCCTTGGTTTTCAAATTCAGACCAGGCATCATTGAGCTCCATGAAAATCATCTTTGCATATTGTTCATAGGGTTGTCCAGTAGCCTGTAGAAAAAATAAAAATACACATTAGATACCACAGACCAAAATTTTATTGATATTCAATTTTTCACTGCCAATAATATATGGGTCCTAAGTAATTGAAATGCTTTTCTATTTGGCCATTTCTCTTTTTCAGCCTAATCTATTATATGTGACCCGAATTATTATAACCTCCCCGTAATGCCCTCCCCCTGGAAATGCCCAAGGGTAGTAGTAATTTAGTCAAGGAGCAGACAACGGAGAGCTTATCGGGCAGCAAAAGATGAATTTCTGTTCTCCAGAAGTATCTGCCAAATGACAAAGGTTCATGACAGCCCATCTCCATTGACTGTTTTTAACTTCCATTTTCCCATTTCTAAAAAGTTCTTTGAGAATTATAATGGGGCATACAGTTTGTGGATTTTTCCAGGCTCTTGTTTCGCCTTCTCTTTTGATTCATCAAAATTCAAGCACTAACATTACTTCCCATTAATTCTTCTATTCAGACTAGTTACAAAAAATTTGGAGAGATGAAAATCAAATGCATCAAATTCAAGCCTGCGTTGCCAAGTGGCACTTTGATCAGAGCTTTGTGTCACATGACTAGTATAGTCTATGTGACAGCAAGATGACTCACTTCTTTCTGAATGTTTCTATGTATTAGGATGATTTCATTTGGGTCATAAGTGAGTTGAAGTTTCTGACAAGGTAGAGTCCTTAGATGTATATATACTTTAATGAAAGCATAAACTGACATAACAATATAGTGATTATCAATAGAGTGGCAAATTTAATTCCATTTTGAATATTTTATTAATTTTATAATCTCACAAATTTTACCAACTACATTCTAAAGTTTTTTCACTGCCATCCGGGCTAACCATACTGTTGTATCTCCAAAGGAAAGGAGTTGTCTTCTGTCCCGCTCTTAGCCTGTCCTTACGATTGTAAGTCAGGACACAATTTACTTTTTTTCTCTTCTTTTTTTGAAGACAGGGTCTCACTCTGTTGCCTAGGCCAGAGTGCACTGGAGAGATCTCAGCTCACTGCAGCCTTGATCTCACAGACTCAAGTGATCCTCCTACCTCAGCCTCCTGAGTAGCTGGGACTATAGGCTCGTGCCACCACACCAGCTAATTTTGTATTTTTTTTTTGTAGGGTCAGGGTTTTGTCATGTTGCCCAGGTTGGTCTCAAACTTGAGGGTTCAAGCAATTTGCCCACCTCAGCCTGCCAAAGTGCTGGGATTACAGACATGAGCTATCGCACCCAGCCACAATTTACTTCTGAGCCCTAAAAATTAAAGACTGGGTAAATCTTACCCTCTTTAAATAAGCTCCTGTAATATATAGTTTGATATATTCTTTCTCATTTCATAAAGTGTAACTATTTGTTTAAATATCTGACTTTAGCCAACAGACTTAATTTTATTAAAAATAGGTCTAATCGCCGGGCGCGGTGGCTCAAGCCTGTAATCCCAGCACTTTGGGAGGCCGAGGCGGGTGGATCATGAGGTCAAGAGATCGAGACCATCCTGGTCAACATGGTGAAACCCCGTCTCTACTAAAAATACAAAAAAAAATTAGCTGGGCATGGTGGCACATGCCTGTAATCCCAGCTACTCAGGAGGCTGAGGCAGGAGAATTGCCTGAACCCAGGAGGCGGAGGTTGCAGTGAGCCGAGATCGCACCATTGCACTCCAGCCTGGGTAACAACAGCGAAACTCCATCCCAAAAAAAAAATAAATAAATAAAAATAAAAATAAAAATAGGTCTAATCAACCAGCACATTTAAAGTAAGACACACACTCATAAGATAATGAAGCAAGGACCTGACAAGATACACAGCAGGGCAGGTTATACCCACTTTATCTGGGTGCACCACGAGGACAGCCTTTCTGTACACCTTCTTCACCTGCTCTGGTGTTACCAGGTCTGCCATGCCAACTGGTTTCCACTTGGTCTCCCCAGCCCACAGCACAGTATGCATTGTGGAGAGAAGGGCTCTGATATTTCTTTCTTTGCCTTCAATCCATTCCAGAATCTGTAAACACAAAGGGGATTAAGAAAT